GACGTAGGTCATAGACCTCCTTGGTGATCTTATATGCCGTCCATGGCTGCCCAGCTCCCGTCGCTGCCGTCTCTTGTGTCGCCTTGTTCTTTCGAACTCTCTTGGGACGCTTCGGCGGGAGCGCTGCGACAATTCCTCCATCACTCGAGGATGCTGCTGCAGCGTGGTGGTCGTCGGTTTCCTCAGAAATCACGGCATTGTTATGTGTCGGACGTTGATAGGCCTGCTTAGCCACATAGTGCGGCTGGGATTGTCTCTCGTTAGCGACCTTGTCGTCCGTTTGGATGACCAAATTCGCTCGATCCAGAATGCCCTGGAATGTGGTATAGTCATACTCATTACCGAGTGCCGACCGCAATCCCGCGCACGATCGCGAGAAGAACTCGGATCGTTGATTTGAGAAACTCAAATCGAATCCTGGCGTGGTCACTATCTTTTGCCACTTCGTTGTCCAATCTCGAGTTGGCATGTTCCCCTGAGAGCATGTGTACACCTCATTCATGGCTGCCTTCACGACGTTGCGGACCATGAACCGGGTGAGCCATAGCTGCTCGAACTCCTTCCACGTGATGTGCGTGTGGAGTTCGGCGATGGTGCACTTGTGGGTGGCCGCCAGGTGGTTCATCCATACCTGCGCTCCTCCAATCAGTTGCAAATAGAGTGCCTTCAACATGTCGTTCGCCGGGACAGTGCTGCATGACCCTTCCGTGAGGAAGGTCTTGTCTGTAGCTTGGTGATGTCCGTCTTGAGGGCGGCCACCGTGCTGCTGATCGTGTCCGGTCCGTTGAAAACACCTATGTCGCCGATGATGGTGACGACGTGATCGATGCGTTCATTGATTTGCTTCGTCGCGTCCATCGTGCAGCCTGGCGCTGCTGAGGCCTTGGCCTCAATGCCGTTGATGCGTGCGCTGGTAGAGTTCATCAGCTGTTGCTGTTGCTGCTGCTGCACTACTGCGTTGCGGACGTCGGCCGTTACAGCGGCCAGGTCTTGCTGGTACTGCTGTCTTTGCTGACGATCCGCGTGCAGGTGTGCCTGCAGTAGTTTGTTGTTCCACATTACTCCCCTCATTATGTGCAACATCACGGTAGCCAGGTTACTTTTCTCTGCCTCCGCCTGTGTCGGTTCCGCCTGCGTTTCCGTAGGCACAAAGATCATGTATTGGAGTAACGTTGTCCACTGATGCTCACTAGCAATCAGGGACTCCGTGCTGCCGGCATTCCGTCTGTTTCGTGCCGCTGCGTCAGCCTCAGCAGTCTGCTGAGCTTGGGCTGCCGCCTCATTGGCCAGCCGCTGACGTTCTGCCTCTGCTGCCTCCTGCCAAGCCTTGGCGGCAGCTACGGTATCTGTAAATACCTGTAGTCGCCCAAAATAGTCAGCCAACGGCTCATTGGCCTCTCTGGAGTCGTCCGTCTGCTGAATCTCTTGGGTCTTGGAGGTACCGCAGGGCGGGCATGAACTGCAATCCTGTGTCCTGTTCCGTCGACATCAGTCTGAACTGATGCGGTACTTGAGAGGCGCTGGTGTTCACAGACTACAGGGGGGTTAGGTAGAGTGGGAACAGGGGTAGAACAGTCAAGCAATATACATACAATCCCCTGTCCCACTGATGGACTGTAGACACCTAGTCAAACGGAATAAATTAAATTTCCCGTAAACCCTTCAAAAAATTCGTAATAAGGAATTAATAACGGTTTAATCAATAAAATTAATTAATGATAATTAACGAAATAATTCCAAATGATAATCAGTAAAACAATGTTTGTAATAAAGATAACCAATTAATAAACGAATTTGAAAGGTATTATGATTAGGTCTCTTTGAGATCACTTTTGAGTCCGGGAGTTCACCGTTACTGAGTGAACTACCCGGAAGTTGCAGTTTAAGGGTTAGGTACGGCTTAGTGTGCTAAAAAAAAATTTCGGAAAATTTCAGACGAAAAAACGCTCGAATTTTCAAAAACGCGAATTTTTGGGAATTTCCACCGTCAAAATCCGATTTTTAAAAGCCTAAACCTATTTTCGGAATTTCTCAAACAAGGAGAACGAAAAACAAATTCGCGAAAATTTCGGTCCCAACCCTAATTTCCGCGTTTCGGCAAAATTTCCGGATTTACGGTCCCGAAACGTTCGAATTTCCCCAAGTTGATCTAAAACCAAAAGACTTTCGTAACCCTAATTCCAATACTGAAAGACAACGGAAATCTCAAAAGTCAACGAAATATAGGATTTACAACAGAATGCCGAAAAACGGAATGCTGAATGGAAATCAGAAAAGCCGAATTTCAAACATGATACTGATTCAACCCTAATTCGTGTAACATCAGAAATCCGAAACTTAATCAAGTATCGGATTAGTATTACTCAATCAGAAGTCAAATAGCAGCATACCGGAAGAAAACAGAAATCCGAATTACAAGTCCGAATACCGATTTGAACAGAAATGCCGAACTAAATAGAATACTGAAAGAGAAAAAAAATTTGCAACTTTGAACTCGATAGTAATTCAGCGCTGATTGGGAAAATTGAAGAGCAATCTATTTCCTAACCAGACTTACCTTTGTGAGCAGATCCGTTTTATGGTCTGCTCCGATACCAAAACTGTTACATACTCCAATGAGTATGGGCAGAACCAAGAATCAACCAATGTAGGATGAGTATAGATGCAACGGAAGTCTGATAAACGGACTGACTCACATAGACTGACTCACATAGCATCACTCCACACACAT